ATTAGTATAAGTGACAGTTCCTTTGACTTTTACTATACTTGTATGCTCATTCTAGAGCAGGGGTGGCAAACTTTCTGTAAAGAGCCAGATAATGTCTATTTTAGGCTTTGCAGGCCATCTGGACTCGGCTGCAACTTCTCAACTCTGCTGTTCTAGCACAAAAACAGTCATAGATACTGGAATATGGTACAGTGGCTGTATTGCCAAAACTTACTTTATGGAGTCAATAATATTGTGATAGCTATAAATGTTACCAGGTGGGTACTGCAGATATTGGGGGAATACTTGATAAAGTATATGATTATCTAACCATTATACTGTACACCTAAAACCAATATAAAATGATATTGAAAATAAACTATAATTGAAAAATTCAATTTTATTTTTTAATCCTCACCTGAGTATATTTTCCTATGTATCATCAAATAGAGTAGGAGGGAGGGAAAGAGAAACATCGATTGGTTGCCCCCCACACATAACCCAATCAGGGCTGGGGACGAACCGCAACCAAGGTAAATGCCCTTGACCAGAATCGAACCTACAACTCATTGGTCCGCAGGCCAATGCTCTAACCACTAAGCCAAATTGGCCAGGGCAAAATATAAAATTTTTAAAAAAATATAATACGGCCCTGGTGGGTTTAGCTCAGCGGTTGGAGTATCGGCCCACGGACCAGAGAGATCCGGGTTCGGTTCCCGCTAAGGGCACATACCTCGGTTGCCATTTGTCCCTGGCCCCAGTTGGGGTCATGTGGGTAGTGGCCACTCAAGAGTAATGTTTCTCTCTCTTCCTCCCTCTCTCCCTTCTGCTCTATCTCAAGATAAATGCAAAAAAAAAATGTCCTCGGGTGAGGATTAAAAAAAACTTTTAATATGGACATGGAAATATAAATTTCATACAGTTTCACATCACAGATATTCTTCTTTTGATTTTTCAACCATATAAAAATGTAAAACTATTCTTAACTTGGTCATAGAGTCTCAACTGGTGCTTTTTACTCCTAATGCAGAATAGATATTGAATCTCCTTCACCATCACCCTAGGGATTTTTTTATCCTTTCTCTTGGATCAGATTTCCTATTTCCTGGTTGCATGTATGCCTTGTTTTATGGTTTACTTCCTCATTTTGGTGGTGTGCATCCTTAGTTAGCTTCAAATGTCTCCATTCTTTCCTCTCATTTATTAATAGTATGGGTATAAAATACAAGAATGAAAATTCTTTTCTCCAAGATTTTGAAGGCATTTCTTCATTTACCTTTAGGTTTCAGTTCCTTGGAAAAGTCTAAATTCCTTCTGATTCATAAATAAATCTTTGTATTTATTTCTCCTGCTTTCTGGAAGCTTTTAAGTTTGATTTTGCCCCCTTTATATTGAAATTTCACAGTGATGTGTTTTACTATGGGTCTGTTTTCATGCACTGTATTGGGTACTTGGAAATTTGTGTCTTTTAGTCCTGGGAAATGTTCTTGCATTTCTCCCCCTGTTTTTTCTATTCTTTTTGGAACTCTTATTAATCTTCTGTTAGACCTCTGAATCTCTTTTCTTTCATTTTTTCTACCTCTTTTTTTTGTTACTTTTTGAGAGAATTCCACAATTCTAGAGGTACGTGGTACTGCCAGTTGCGAAGCTTTGCAAGGACTGTATATGGGTGGTTATTCAGCTTTCCCCAAGCCTCCTGAGAATTCTGTTTTTTTGGCTCTGCTAAGTAATTTTCTTCTTACCCATCTGCTTTTCAGCTTTTAAAATTTTGTTGCTAACATCTCTTATCCTGTTATCTTCAACTTTTAACTTGATGTCTTTTAAAAAAAAAAGAAGAAGAAGAAGAAGTCTGGCCTGTGTGGCTCAGTGGTTGAGCGTCGACCCATGCACCAAGAGGTCGCTGGTTCGATTTCCGGTCAGGACACATGCCCAGGTTGTGGGTTCAATCCCCAGTGGGGAGCATGGAGGAAGCGGCCAATTGATGTTCTTTCTCATTGATGTTTCTATCTCTCTCTCCCTCTAAAATCAATGCAGGAAAAAAAATTTTTTAAAAGAAAATCCCTTTACCTGTGTTTTCCATGGAGTTTCTATCTTGTCTTGATGCAGAACCCATCAATGATTTTAATATTGCCAGAATTACAGCTTTTCTACAAAGTTTTGCCCTTATTAAAAAAGAAAGAATGTCCTCCAAAAGAGGATTTAAAAAAAAAAAATTTTCCCTTATTGATTTTAGAGAGAGAGGAAGTGAGAGGGAGAGATAGAAACATTGATGAGAGAGAACATTGATTGGCTGCCTCCTACATGCCTCCCACTGGGGATTAAGCCCACAACCTGGGCATGTGTCCTGACCGGGAATCAAACCTGCAACCTCTTGGTGCATGGGTCAATACTAAGCCACACCAGCCGGACAGGATTTTTTAAATAAATTGTGGCTCACCCACACAATGGAATAGTTTATCAGCCACTAAAACTAATATTTTGAAAGAATAATTTTTTAAATATATTTTTATTGATTATTTTAGAGAGAGAGGAAGGAGGAGAGAGAAACATCAATGGAGAGAGACATATTGATGGGCTGCCTCCTGCAGGCCCCCACCTGGGATCGAGCCCACAACCTGGCCATGTGTCCTGACCGGGAATCAGACTGGGACCTCTCAGTTCATGGGATGACGCTCAACCCACTGAGTCACACTAGCTGGGCATAAAAGAATAATACCATGGAAAAATGTTTCTAATGTGTTACGTGAAAAAATAAATTATAAATGACATGTACAAAACAATCACATTTTTTTAAAGTATATATTTTAAAGTAAAACAGTATGTACTAACACAGTCATAATCTATATACAGAGAAGAAAGTAATGCACCAGAAAGTAATGGTGCAATCTCTGAGTGATGAGATGACTGATCAGATAGAAACTGTGTGATTAGACAGAAAATAAATGCCCCCAAAGACAAACATTCCCAAGGAACATGTAGGAACAAACATGTCTTCCTGCTGGAGCCTTATGTCATACTGATTTGCCATGTTGAGTATAAATATCACCCTATTCTTTGGGTTGTCAAGTTCAAGCCTGTATCCAGAGTTATACAAACCCATACCCCTTCTCCCTTTTCCAGCCCCCTAATGACCCTCATGGTATCCAGAGAGAAGATCTCATCCTGAGTCTCCGAGCTGTGCTGGCTTCCACACCACGATTCGCTGAGGTAGGTAGGTCTAGCCACCATTAGGGTATGTAGCCTCAGCCCATACAGGGCTTTGAAGAACGATCAGTAAAAGCATGGGGGAAAAAGGAAGATTCATTATACATTTTAAGGTATGACATCCTGCAAGTGTCCTTAGGCAAGTATCTTCAGACCTTCATTGTTGAAAACTTGACCATCTTTTCTTTAAAATTGTAATCTAATCCCATCTAGTGCTATCTTTTTAAGTCCTATAGATTTGCCAACCATTTTTCAAGTAACTAGGTGTCTGGCCACATCTTGACAGGAAGGTTGGCTTAAAATCACAACTCTTGACTCAAGTATAGCTCCTTGGTGTAGCACCTGCTCTGGGGACTAGTGGCAATAAGGACATGGTTGGTCTTGGAGTGGCTTTCTCAGACTTCAGTTCTTCTTCTGTCTCTTCCACAGTTCCTGCTGCCTCTGCTGATTGAGAAGGTGGATTCTGAGATTCTGAGTGCCAAGCTGGATTCTCTGCAGACTCTGGTAAATGATTTTTCTTCTTCTAAGGTCCAGCTGCCCTTAGACAAATTAGGGGTGCTAAAGATTATTGGAGAGCCAGGGAACAGTTCAGTGGGCCTCAAAAGAGAGATACCAGGATCTGGGCTGACATGTTGACCTAAAGGCTCCAGCTGCATAGTGTCTTGTTCTGTAGTAACTGAGTGGCCACCAAGGAAAGGCTGACCAGGGCTCCTTCTTGATGCTGGGTATGACTATTATAAAGTCCTGCTGATTTTTCTGCTGAGAGCCAGGCTCCTTCAAATGCCATTATACTGAGGTACCTGCATAACTTAGGAAGTCTGAGTGTGTAGATAGCTGGTACCTGCACTTTTTTGGCAGAATGCTTGCTGTGCTGTGTATGGACAGAAGGAACTGAAGGACTTCCTCCCCAGCCTTTGGGCTTCTATCCGCAGAGAGGTGAGTGTTACTTAGATAAACTCACTACTTTTAACTCCCAGTTGTCAGGCACCAGGGGAAATAATACATCCTGTGCTTTTCCGTCTGTTGCTATGCCTGGTTATTCAATAAGCAAGCAATGGGGCATACTTCTAGTTGAATGACAAGGGAAAGCATCCCTACATGAGGATCAGCTGCTTGGTGTTGGCACTTGGTCACCTTTGCACAGTGTCCACTTCCTGTCCTTCCATAGTAAGGAGCATAGTCATGGTGCCTATGCCACCATGCTGAATAGAGGGAGAGAAGAGGCCTAAGATAAGGGATCCCAACGGTGGCTCAAAGTTGGCATTCTCTTTCTCTCTCAAAAAGTATGTATATGAATTTCAGTGGGGCTAAGGACTTGGTGAGAATATGCCAATTATATGCCAATTAAGATTAAGAAAAAATTCATTTGAGGGGTTGATTTTCCATTGCTGTGCCCTAAAGCTTTTTTTTTTTTTTAATCCTCACCCGGGGACATTTTTGCATTTATCTTCAGATGGGGGGTGGGGGGCATCAATATGAGAGAGACACACCGTGGTTGCCACCCACACAACCCCAGCCAGGGCCAGGGACAAACTGCAACTGAGGTATATGCCCTTAGTGGGAACCGAACCCAGGACTCTCTGGTCCATAGGCCGACTCTCTAATCGCTGAGCCAAACTGGCCAGGCCCCTAAAGCTTCTTAACTACCACCCCCGCCCCCCAAGGAAATGGGCAGTGGGTGGATGGAGTCTCACTTGGTGCAGGCTCACCTCAGTAGCCATGGGATTCCTCCCTGACAGGTGTTCCAGACGGCAAGTGAGCGGGTGGAGGCTGAGGGCCTGGCAGCCCTCCACTCCCTGACTGCGTGTTTGTCTCACACTGTGCTGAGGGCTGATGCTGAGGACCTCCTTGACTTCTTCCTTAGCAGCATTCTACAGGGTAACAAGACCATGGAAGCCAGAAAGGGGAGTGAGCACAACAGAGAGAAATTCCTTAAGGGCCAGTAAACTTTCATATGTAGTCCCACCATGTTCAGTGACTGGGGGGCTGGAACCCTACTTTGAATTCTTTAAAAATTCAATGGTAACTATTAGCAAATGTCCCTGGTTTAGTCTCCAGCTTTTATGGACCACGGGGGAAGCAGGCAACGTTCAGCCTACTCCCAGGTATATGATGCACTGCCTCTCTAGACTGCAGGCACCATCTGTGCGAACCGGACATGAAGCTGGTGTGGCCTAGCGCCAAACTGTTGCAGTCAGCTGCAGGTGCATCTGCCCGGGCCTGTGACCACATCACCAGCAACGTGCTGCCTTTGCTGCTGGAACAGTTCCACAAGCACAGTCAGGTAAGGGAGCAGTCTTCTGAGGAAATGATAGGACCCCCTTGCTAGGATCCCTTTCTCACAGAGAGCCTAAGCGTTGAGCTTAGGCCCAGATAGATTTTGGGCTTTGCTCCTATTAGCTCTGCTGGTCCTCTTGTTTACTCTTTTCCTGATGCTTACATAAAAGAATAATTCACCCCACTTCCAAAGTAGTGGGACTGAAATCCTTTAACATACAGGGCAGGGCAAAAGTAGATTTACAGTTGTTCATATGGAAAATAGTACAATAATTAATAAATAATAATACAAGAATAAACTCTGTTTCACACACTCACAACCATAAAGCTACTTTTGCCCCACCCTGTATTCTTTGACTCTAATATCCCTTAAAACATTACAGAGCAACCAGCGGCGGACCATCCTTGAAATGATCCTGGGTTTCTTGAAGCTACAACAGAAATGGAGCTTTGAAGACAAGGGTGAGGTCACCTTCCAGAGCAGGCAGAGTGCCATGGACAAGTAGCCTAGAACAGTGGTTGTGTCGTTCTGAGGTTGTAGCTTAAAAAACACAACGGATGAGACCTGTTCATTTTTTCCCAGTGTACTTCCTGGACACTCAATGGATTAAGCTCTTTAAATCTGCCCTGAATTGTCTTTGCATCACTGCTGAGTCAGGGCTTCCCTCTAACCTGGACTGTCTCCCTAGGTGAAAGGCCTCTGAGTGGCTTCAAGGACCAGCTGTGCTCACTGGTATTCACGGCCCTCACAGACCCCAACACCCAGCTTCAGCTTGTTGGCATCCGCACTCTCACTGTCTTGGGTGCCCAGCCAGGTACACTTAAGAGAAAGAGAAAAGATAAGGGTATTATCTCTTTCTTGTGATTTTGTGTCTTAAGTGAAAAGTCTTCATTTCCCGGTTCTCACTATAACCCTGGTTGACGTGGGATTTCTAATGAGACTTTTGGAAGGGTTGTGGCTACAGGGGAGCCAAGATATGATTTGTGTTCCCTTCTAACACAGATCTCCTGTCTCCTGGGGATCTGGAGCTGGCAGTGGGTCACCTATACAGACTGAGCTTCCTGGAGGAGGATTCCCAGAGTTGGTGAGAATCTAAAGAGCAAGATAGAACAAGCTCTTCCAGGGCTCTGTGCTTCCAATCCTTGGCTCTCCCTAGGGGAAGTGGGCCTGTGCTGGGCTTTGGCTGCCATGTGGTTGGAGACGTGGAACTGTTCTCTTTTCTTGGGCATTAAGAATCCCTGTCCAACTAGGTACTTGAGTCCTGCTCTTCAGCAAGGTGGCCTCAGGAGACCATACTCCTGAATCTGCCTAATGGCAGGTCTAGACAAGAGAGCGGTTGGCCAAGCCTCAGGTAATGCTCATCTGCCCTGTGTCCCCAGCAGGGTGGCAGCACTGGAAGCATCAGGAACCCTGGCCACTCTTTATCCTGTGGCCTTCAGCAGCCACCTAGTGCCCAAGCTGGCTGAGGAGCTGTGCTTGGGTATGTGTCTTTGAGCTTCTGTGGCTCACCCCTTCCCAGGGAGGCTTGAGGCCTTCTTGCTTGCCATCACACAGTGAAACCTTGTCTCCTCGGTTGCTTTCAGGGGAGTTGGATTTGGCTAGAGGGGACGGGTCCACTAAATGCTCCCGGCATCTGTGCTGTCTGCAAGCCTTGTCAGCTGTGTCAACACACCGCAGCATTGTCAAGGAGACCCTGCCTCTGCTGCTGCAGCATCTCTGCCAGATGAACAAAGGTAACTACCAGGAATGATCATCAAGGAGCTGGGCTGAATGGGGATCTGTAGTCAAGTTTGGAGTTGTTGATGCCTCTGAGGCAGTGGTTATAGTGGTGGCTATACAGAAGAGTTACATGGGAACTTTTTTTTAAATTCTCACCCAAGGATACTTTTCCACTTATCTTCAGATAGAGTGGGAGGGAGGGAGGGGGAGAGAGAGAGAGAGAGAGAGAGAGAGAGAGAGAGAGAGAGAGAAACATTGATGTGAGAGACACGTTGACTGGTTGCCTCCCGCATGACCTTGGCCGGGGACCTAACTACAACAAAGGTACGTGCCCTGGAGTGGAATTGAACCCACGACTCTTTGGTCCGCGGGCCAACTCTGTAACTGCTGAGCCAAATTGGCCAGGGCTCACATGGGAATTTTTTAAATAAAATAACTGATGCCTGGGTCTCACTCAGTCCAACTAAATCAATCTGTGAGGAAGGATGGGACTTGGACAACAGGAATTATTAAGTGTGCCCATGTGATTTTAATGTGGAGCCAGAATTGAAGAGTACCACACTAAGGCCATGCTACTCAAAATATGGTCCATCAACCAGCAGCATGGGCATCATCTGGGAGTTTGGTAGATGTGCAGAATCTCAGGCCCCACCAATCACAATCTGCATTTTAACAGGATCTCTAGGTAACTCTACACACTCTAGTTTGAGTATTAATGTGCTCCAAGGCATAAGTGACGGTGGCAATTGGTACTACAAGCCTATATATATATATATGCTCACCATGGGCCCTCACTAATTCCTAAGCTCCCTACTTTGTGCTGCCCGGCCCTTATGAGGGATCCAGTCAACAATGAGTGATCTGCTACACAGAAAGAACATGACTCAGAGTGTGGCCTGGATTAGATTGCTGACTTTGCACTTACTGTGACCCTGGCAAAGCCACTAGTAGTTTCATTGAGCCTCCACATTCTCCTCTATAAAATGGGGGAAACGATCCTTCTAGGGTGATAGAAAATGAGAAAAGATGTATGAATGCTTCTGCTATGGAGCCTGGCACAGAGCAAGTCTCAGCTCTAAAATCTAATAGATGAAAAAGAACATATAAAAGAATAAAATGACTTGGCTCTTTAATAAGACACTCCTGGTCATTCACCTTTGATTGTTCTTTCCATCTGCTCTATCTGAAATACCTAGAAGTGCTTTTAGGAAAACCTTACAGAGAATACTTTCTCACCACACAGGGAATGTGGTTGCAGGACCGAGTGAAGTTATTGCTATCTGTCAGAGCCTCCAGCGGGTAGCAGAAAAATGCCAGATGGACCCCGAAAGCTGCTGGTATTTCCATCAGACAGCTATACCTTGCCTGCTTGCCTTGGCTGTGCAGGCTTCTATGCCAGGTAACTTGCACCACCTCACCTCCTACCCCTCTAGACTTCCGCCTTCCACTAGGGTTGAACAGCACTGCCACCCTCGGGTTTTCGCTGGTACTGCATCTTTTTTTTTTTTTTTTTTTTTCCCCCAGCAGAGGCTTATTTTAAGATTTCACTTCACCAGACTAATGGCAGGAACTGAAATCCATTGATGTTGCAGTGCTCAAAATGACGCACACTTTTTTCATGTTTAATCACTATGTGATTAGTTTAGTTAGAATTCTGCTCTGGAGTTAAGTAGTCCTGGTTGGGTTTCATCTTCAACTCTAACACTCACTAACTTAGATGAAGATATTTAGCCTTTCTAAGCCTCTGTTTCCTCACTTATTAGAGGGAGATAAAGAGAAATATCAGTGTCACAGGGCAGTTGCTAAGGATTAAATAAGATAATGCATAGTAGTTTGCAACACAGTATATATAGGTATTGTTGCTCAGTATGTGGTAGCTGCTATAATGAGGACCCATGAAGACAAATCCATGTTATCTTTTAAGGCTAACATAGCTGTTTCTGATGTTAAGAGCATTCATATTAGCTGGCCTGGTGTTCCACTGTTGCCCAGTCTAAGGACTGCACAGAGTTCTCAGAGCTCTCTGGCCCACATTAGACTTGTCCTGCTCTGGTGCCTTGCTGGCTCTCTGGTCTATAGCCCTGCTACAGGACAGGTTAGAAATCACTGCTGTTGTGGCTGGTGCTGAGCCCCAGTCATGATGACAGGACCTAATAATCTAAACCATAGTTATGGCCTTGTGATTCTGTGTGTGTTTTGATTTTGCAGAGAAGGAGCACTCAGTTATGAGAAAAGTGCTGTTGGAGGATGAGGTCTTGGCTGCCATGGTGTCAGTCATTGGCACTGCCACCACCCACTTAAGCCCTGAGTGAGTATACTCATGGATGTTACTTGAGCCCAGGGAGGACAGCAATCTTGGGAAGAAGCAGCAGGTAGCTGCTTTCTGAGCTGTCCTTTTACCCAGAATCAAATGTAGGGGCAGCTATTTGTCTTTTAAGTTTTGCTGGCAAAGTAAGAGGAAGAGGCTTTTAGCACCATGAACTGTGGGGATGGGTGAGCCATAGACCGATGGTTCTTAGCTGCAGACTGTGCATAAAAATCACCTATAGAGCACTTTTTAAATGTACACTGAGTTCTCTCACTAGATTGTGAGCTCCAGAACAGGGATTTGATCTGTCTGGCTTGCTGCTCTATCTATCACCAGGGCCTGGAAAGGGAATGGTTCCTTATATGTGCTGAATGAATAATTGCTGAAATGTATGAATGATCATGCTCAGACCCATTGACTCAGTGACTCTAATGTGAACCCCAGGGCTGCTTTATAACCCTGGCTCCTTGGTGATACCTAATACTCTACCCCTAGTTTAGCTGCCCAGAGTGTCGCCTGCATTGTGCCCCTCTTCTTGGATGGCAACATCTCCTTTCTGCCTGAAAACAGCTTCCCTTGCAGATTCCAACCATTCCAGGTGAGTGTCTGATAGATCAGATGGGGTAGAATCCTGGGATTTCTGTCCTTCATATTTCTAGGGCTAATCTGGGATGGTATTGGAGCAGATAAGCCTACTGCTGTCATGACAGGCTTGATAATGCTCTTCTTCCTTTATAGGATGGCTCCTCAGGACAGAGGAGGCTGGTTGCACTGCTTATGGCCTTTGTCTGCTCCCTGCCTCAAAATGTAAGTGAACACATTTGGGGAGTACCCTGTTTAACCCTGACAAGGAAGGGTGGATCCCAGGTGACTTCTGGGCTGAAACTTGTCACAGACTAAGCTGACCTACTTTCCCAACTGGGACAGCCCTTGGGACAAGAGCTGGACAGAGCATTACAGTTCTCATCCATCCTGGCCCCCGCTGCCACTTTCTACCAGGTATCTCTTTGAGTTCAAGTGTTCTCTGGATCCATTACATGACTAGGTTTTCTGTAGGTGGAAATCCCTCAGCTGAACCAACTCATGCGGGAGCTTTTAGAGCTGAGCTGCTGCCACAGCTGCCCCTTCTCCTCCACTGCCGCCGCCAAGTGCTTTGCAGGACTCCTCAACAAGCACCCTGCAGGTACTGGCAGCCTCCCTGACAGAATCTTAAGTTCAGTCCTTTTGTTGTTGTTAATCCTCACCTAGGGATATTTTTTCCATTGGTTTTTAGAGAGAGTGGAGTGGGGAGAGAGAGAAACATCCATATAAGAGAGACACATCAATTGGTTGCCGCCTGTGTACGCCCTGACTGGGGTCGGGGATCGAATTTGCAACCAAGGTACATGCCCTTGACTGGGAATCGAACCTATGACCCTTTAGTGCACGAGTCAACGCTCTAACCACGGAGCAACACCGGCCAGGGTAGTCCTCATTCATTTTTAAAAAGGAGCTTGCTAATAATACATATAATAGGGTTTCCCACAGGACAGCCCTTGGGACAAGAGCTGGACAGAGCATTACAGGACCAAAGAAGATGAGGGGTATAAGCAGGGGACTGTGTCTAGTCTGTCATCCTACTCCCTACAGGGAGCTGCCACGGATCGTTCTTTATTAGAAGCAGACAACTCTTCAAGTGCCAGTACCCCTGCGCTATGAGGGATACCAGGCTCTCATGCTAGTGTTCCAGAGTTGCGTGGGCAAAGCCCAGAGCCAAGTGGTATTCTCTTCCAGTGGCTTCTCAGGGAGCTCTGCACTGAAATGATTTACATCCTTCATTGTTAAAGGAAAAACATGTAGCCTTTGCACTAGCATTTCCTCCCTCCTTTTTAGGGCAGCAGCTGGATGAATTCCTACAGCTGGCTGTGGACAAAGTGGAGGCTGGGCTGGGTTCTGGGCCCTGTCGTAGTCAGGCTTTCACACTGCTTCTCTGGGTAAGGAGTCTCAGAATGTCTCTGGTTAAAGACATTATGTCTGGTTAAGTAAAATTTCTCCATTTGACCTGGAACCATAAGCATGCTTCTCAGGGCTCTGGGGTTTGAGTGTCATGCTCTGACCATTCTCTTCTCTGGTTACAGGTAACAAAGGCTCTAGTGCTCAGATATCATCCTCTCAGCTCCTGCCTTACAGACCGGGTAAGTCCATTTTGGGGACAAGGGAACCTAGGACCTAAATAGCAACTTCCTGTTGATCCTATTCCTCCCAGAAATGACTGCCATCCTCCTCTTAGGTACTTAAGACTCTTCTCCGGATACACCTCAAAGGTTCTTTTCTTCCAGCTCATGGGCCTCCTGAGTGATCCAGAACTAGGCCCAACAGCAGCTGATGGCTTCTCTCTGCTCATGTCTGACTGCACTGATGTACTGACTCGTGCTGGCCATGCTGAAGTGCGGATCATGTTCCGCCAGCGCTTCTTCACAGATAATGTGCCTGCTTTGGTTCAGGGCTTCCATGCCGCTCCCCAAGGTAAGGGAAGTCTAAAAGGCAGGCTCCAAGTTTCTAGACCTCTCCTTTGCTCAGGCCTCATTTTGTAAAATAATTTAGGACCTCATTGCTTCTTCAGAGCTATAGTGTGGTGTGTACCTAGATTCTTATCCCACTCTTTTCCTTTGATGGGTGCATCTTGCTTATTCTAAGCTAGAGGGGCTTTTTAAAAAAAAAACTAAAAAAAAACTTCTGTGTAGACTGATGTCCCAGCTGCATCAGATTGGAGTTGAATTCTCAAGTTCTTATGTTTGAGTCCAGTTTCTCCCTTAAGCTTTTCTGTTTTTTACAGATGTGAAGCCAAATTATCTAAAAGGTCTGTCTCATGTACTTAACAGGCTGCCTAAGCCTGTGCTCTTGCCAGAGCTGCCCACGGTAAGCCTTGCAGTCAGAGCCTCTAAGCAAGGGACCGAGCCACAGCCCCCAGCTGGGCTAGAGAGGGGAGGAGAAGCAGGCTCATCACGTATGTGGTCATCCCCACCTTTCCTGTGGCCCCTTAGCTGCTTTCCTTGCTGCTGGAGGCCCTGTCCTGCCCTGACTGTGTGGTACAGCTCTCCACCCTCAGATGCCTTCAGCCTCTTCTATTAGAAGCACCCCAAGTCATGAGTCTTCACGTCGACACTCTCGTTACCAAGTTCCTGAACCTCAGCTCCAGCCCTTCCATGGTACGTTGAACCCCAGAAACTTCTTTGGCATCTATGGCTCCCCTTCTTGGGTCTGCCCTCACCTCCTATGGTTGTGTTCCAGGCTGTTCGGATTGCAGCACTGCAGTGCATGCACGCGCTCACTCGCCTGCCCACCCCTGTGGTGAGTGTCCTAGGTGTCCCTCTGGCCTGGAAACTTCTGAGAGCCAGAGAAGTACCTTTATGCCCTAGTCAAGCATGACTGGCCACCCTGCTATGTGACTGAGGTATAAATTGCAAGGTACCGATAGGCAAGGATTTGCATGAATACCCTACAAGAGAATGGTCATCCTGCGTCCTTTGGAATCACTTAAGAAGAAGAGGACTTTATTAGTTGTAGAGTCAGAGAAGCAGCTCTTTGGTTGCCCTGGTTGAGCAAGACTAAGATTAACTGCTTTTACTCCACAGCTACTGCCGTACAAACCACAGGTGATCCGGGCTCTAGCCAAACCTCTGGATGACAAGAAGAGACTGGTGCGGAAGGAAGCAGTGTCAGCCAGGGGAGAATGGTGAGTTCCGAGGTCATGGGGAGAGCTGGGACTGAAATGGGCCTCACCACTAATGCTGCCAACATTCTTTCTGCCTACAGGTTTCTGCTGGGAAGCCCTGGCAGCTGAGCCCTCAGTCCTGGCCTAGACGATTCTGACAATCTAACCTGGAATTACTAACTATTGAGCCACCTTGCCAAGGCAGAGAGACCACTAGCCTCTCAATGCCTTTCCCACAGACACAGCATAAATGCTGGGCCTCTGTTGCACAGCTGTACAAGAAACAGGAATCCTGATTTCTAATGGATTTGTGAAGCAACTGAGTGTGAGACTACTTGTGTTTGAAGAAAGATCTCAAGGCTCTTCCATATTTGTATGTCAGAAAAAAAGATGCTGCTGAGGGGTGAGTGCAGATGAGTGTGGCCCTGAGGACCAGGGATGGTGCCTGTGTGTGTATCTGCTGGAGAATAAAGATTTCTTTTGATAATGGGGCTGTCAGATATTCTCTCTCCTCCCCCCAGCCCCCCATTTATGCCTCAGTAGCACATAATCAGAAGTGTCACTGTATAAGCGAAAAGAACAGTAATTATAGGGATTAGCCAAGAATTCTTTAGGGGATCCAACCCCTCCCAAGAACAGCATAGGTGGCATGACCAGAACATCTTCACCAGGCCTTCAGCCTGACTTTCCCCTTCCCTGCCCTAAAGTAGGTGCAAAGAGTGAGAAGCTACAGATCTTTAAAAATCAAATACCTTTATTTTTGCTCCTTCAGCATGTGAGAAGTGGCAGTGACCTCAGCAGTAGGCCTGGTATCTTTGCCCTGTTGAGAAGCCAGGATCTCAGCTCGACCATTCAGGTGTTTTCTCAGACAGCAAGTGGAAGAGGTGGTGGCCAACTCCAGTGCTGCAACCTGGAGGTTGGGGTCAGCACCTGGCAAGGTTGCTAGCTGCCTATTCTCCAGTCTGTGGCTGGAACTTCTGTTTGCCTGAGTAAAGGAACTCATCAGTCCCAGGATTTTTCCACATGGTGCCGTGCTTCTGTAGTGGCCAGGAGATAGGTCTTGAGTTGTCCCTGCATGGAACCCTAAGGCAGGCCCACTGGCTCTTTTTGCTCAAGAATTCCAAGAAGCTACCCTTGGAAGCCCTTGAGACAATGCAGGAAGCAGGGTGATGCTCAAATTGTGGCTGATAGAATCCAGCTCACACTGCCATCACAGAGGCTGACTGAGCAGTCACCCAGGGAGGGGGGTCCCAGATCATTCCATTCCCGTGGGGCAGATGACTAGAAGGTAACAGCACCCGAGTAAGCCAATGCCTACAAAAGAAGACAGAAATGTCTGAGTTCCAAGAGTTCTTGGACTTCCTGATCCTCATTCTCAGTAAGGATACAAGGTATTCTGAAGCTACCCTGGCATTAATCATAAAGGAACAAAAGTCCTAATTTTGTCCAATAAATGTGTCCTCTGTTGCTTTAAAGGCCTTTGGACATTTTGAGCTAAATGTCTGAGACACCACTGCAAGCACAGTGATAGCCAGGAATGTAATGGGGACAGGGAAAAGGAGGCAGTCAGATACTTATGGTCACCTTATTACTGCCTTAGTCATTGCAATCTGAAAAAAAATTTTCTTTGGTTAATCCTCACTCAAGGATATTTTCCTATTATTATTATTTTTTAGATAGAGTGGAAGGAAGGGAGGAGAGAGAAAGAGAGAAACACTGATGTGAAAGACATTGATTGGTTGCCTCCATTATAACCCCAAATGGGGCAGGGGATCAAACCCACGACCTCTCAGTCAGTGGGCCGCAATTCTAACCACTGAGCCAAACCAGCCAGGGCTGAAAAATGATTTTCCCATGTCTTGGGCAGAAGGAGCTAACTTTATTCACTGTCTTAGTACCTGTCACAAATAGATTACTTCAATCCCAGAAATCCTTGACTTGAACTCTAGGCACTGCCACACAAATGAGCTGCGATTAGTGGCCACTTCCCTACAGCTTTCTTGGGATTTCATGTGTCATCTGTAAGCCTCAACTGCTACTTAAACCACACAGTGCTGGCCTTAAGCTCTGATGGCTCAAATAAGCAATGATCTCTACTCCTAGAATCCAGATCTGTGCTATACAATATGGTAGCCACTAGCCACATGTGTGATTTCTTTTGTTTTGTTTTTTTGTTTTTATTTTAGAAAGAGGAAAAAGAAATAAAAACATTGATTTGTTGTTCCACTTATATATGCATTCATTGGTTGGTTCTTGTATGTGCTGACTGGGGATCAAACTCGAAACCTTGGTGTATCAGGACAGTGCTCTAACCAACTGAGCTACCCGGCCAGGGCATAGATGCCCTTTTCTTGGTGGTGTTAATCCTTAACCCATGGATATTTTTCCATTGTTTTTTTTTTTTTTAGAGAGGAAGGGTAAGAGGGAGAGCTAGAGAGAGAAACATCTATGTGCAAAAGACACATCAATTGGTTGCCTCCTGCACGACACCGACCAGGGCCGGGGATTGAACCTGCAACTCAGGTATACTCCTTTGACCAGGACTCGAACCCACAACCCAGCAGGCCAATGCTCTGAGCACTGAGCAACCAGCCAGGAATTTTTTTTTTTAAATAAAAAAAAACCACATGTGCCTTTTTAAATTAGTGGAAATGAAATTAAGATTTCAATTTGTCAGTGCATTTGCCACATTTCAAGTGCTCAGTAGTCGCTTGTGGCTGGCTGGTGGCTAATGTCTTAGACAGCACAGGTACAGAACACCTTTCTCATCACAGACTCCTATTGGATAGCACTGGTCTGGGTACTTTACCTTCCTGTGTCCACACCCAGGAATAACTTCCAGTTGTCCAAGCAGCCATAGTTGTAATGATTCCTAAAAACCTAGGGCCAAGAAAAACATAAGTTTCTGCAAACCCCTTTTACTTAATCCCCTTCTAATTTTCAATCCTAAAAGAGCCAATCCAAAACTCAGTTAGGCAAGTTCTGGCCTTTTAGGATGCATGCCCTAATTGACCTTGACCATGGCCTTTTACAGGATGACAGGTTCAGTTACCTACCCAGCAATCCACCCCAGCCCTCAGCCCTACTCACTCTGCCCTTGGCCTGCAGCCGACGTCTCTCCTTCTTGTTGATATGCCTTTCAATACTAGTCTCACCTCGACTGATGAGAACAGCATGCCATACAGTTAGGGCACCCAGAGCAAGTGCCACAGAACTAAGGAAAGGGGCAAAGATTGGTGAGTTAAAGGGTTAGAGGCTATGTCTGAAATCAAGCTGAGCAGTAATAATTGACTAGGGACCTCTGCCTGTCTTATGTCCCAGCCTACACAACTAAGGAACTTTTACCTCACTACGTCTATAAAAAGCATCAATGAAAATGTTTCAACATGAGCTAAGAATAAATTATGTGGAAAGGAGGGGGAATAAGTCTGTATTGCTAATAGAAATGTTCTGTATTTCTTAAAATACCCATGCTTGAGAAACTAGTCAAAGCACCAGCAGTTGAAATGGGATGGCACAGAATCCAGGCTCCAGCTCATTCCTAGCTGTGTATTGTGGAACAAATCACTTCATCCCTGTAAGTTTCAGTTTTCCTCATCTGTAAAACGTAGTCACCTCCTGTTTAGGTAGGAGTTTAACTTACCTTCGCATATAACAAACACTCAATGCTAGTATCCTTAGTGTTCCCTGTACCAAAATGCTGAAGAAAATTAAATGCTGACTCTTTGCCAACCTAAATTAGACTAAGAAGAGCAGCAGTTCACACAGGGATGGGTCCCTGCAGGCACCTAAAAGGGTTTTTCTGAAGCCGCCCCTCCCTTAAGCTGTCAAAAATAAAAGAGATACCTGCACAGGAACCAGAGGTAGACAAGACTCTTGTGAGTCACCCTTTCTCGGAAGGAGAAGGTGGGTGGTGGGGTCTGGTGATAAGTCTAGAAAAAGAAAACAGCAAAGTCTGGCTCATTTGCTGTGCTGGTCTCCACCAGAGCCCCCAGCACCTTCAGACAGGGAAGTGATCCAAGCCCAGGATGAAAAAATAATGGGTTAAGCCACAGAGGAGTCAGGGTAGCAGCCAAATGGGTGGACCAAGCCCGGCGGCATCATGTGGACAAACACTGGGCACAGCAGGTCTGGACAGGATGGCAAAGCACAGGAGGAGCCAACCCTGGGCCTTCAGATCTGATAACACAAATGGGGCTCCAGGGGAAGCCACTCCACTCCCCAGCTAGAACTCCTTCACCTTGTGGCTGCAACCCCCAAGAGAAGGGACCAGACCTACACCCAAAATGGAATGACTGCAGCAGGGAGAACTGTGAGCTACACTAAGCACTGAAAGGTCAGCAGAGGTAACAATCATTAGCCCAAGATCTGCTCAGGATAAGGAGTCCCAAAAAGCCTGGTGAGAAGGGACGGTCCAGATGCAGATGCAGACAGACCAGGAACGAAGGATCGGACTTGGCCAGCCTGATCTCTGTCCCCTGGAGCCCCAGTACACAGACTAACACAGACTCCTTGCTGCTCAGGCCATCACCAAGGCAGAGTCCTTGCTCAGTTCAAAGAAGGTGATAATGGGATAGAGAGCCAAAAACTGTCACATACAAGGGATTTCCAGTTTGCCCCCAGGTCACTTAGTCTACATGGAGACAGCCTCCCAGAAAACACCCTGATCCAGTCTCCAGTGGCCCCTCAACCAGTCTCTACAACTCCACCAGGTGGGCCCTGGTTGCTTCAGCAACTCTATACCCCTGGCCTGAGCAGCAGGAGGCAGTGGGGTGGGGACTGCACACCTGGTTGGCAATCGCCTGTAGTTTGTTCTTGTCGAGCTGTTTCATTTTCTAAGGGGATGGAAAACAGTGCTGGTTATACTCTCAGGCCTCTAGCATGGAGGTGCTACCAGCCCACTCCTTAGGGACAGATTTTGCACCCCAAAGTGCTCTCTACTTACTCAGCAGCCCTGCTCCTAACTATAGGCTCACCTCAATGGCAGCATAAGCCTCCCGGAAAAGGTCCCAACTTCCATAGCTGCAGTAGACACAGCCCAGAGTCATGAAAAAGCAGAAAGAGAAGAAGTACCGATGGTTATAGTGGCCCACACAGTTGTTTAGCCAGGCTGGTGGAGGAAGGATTAAGGACAACTTGAGGGTGTGTCTGGGCCTCTCTGGTTCATCCTTGCTTCATGATGACATCATCCAAGCCCAGGGCTTCCAGTCACAAGAACTATTTTCCAAAGGCAAGAAAATATGGGACTTTCCAGAAGTTGAGGTGGAAGTATTAAAGCTTTTCAGAGCCCTCACAAGTCCCACCAGGAAATCATGAAAATTGAAACTGTTCACCAAAATGAATCTGCCAATAAGTCAACCTAGCTGGGGTTAACCAGACATCTGTATGGTTCTATCTAGATACCCATGGACAACCACTGAAGCCCAAACATCTCTATCCATCCAACAGATGGCAGCATGACAGCCTACAAAAGAACGAGCTGTTGGAGTCGATGTATTGCTCCAAGGAGATCTGTCCCAGAAAGCCTTAAGCTTTCTGCTTCCCCCAAGATGGTCAGCCCCAACAACTCTTCTTGCACTAACTTCTCATGAGCCCATGTTCTCTGCAGGATGCTAGAAAGCCTCAGGTTTGAGGCCCTTAACCCTGTGCAGTACTCTGAAGCTAAAGAAGGAGGCTCAGGCAGAAGAGATAATAAAAGGATACGACAGTGATGATCCATCTTCAGCACACACCTGTGAGGGAGGGACACAGGTTCTGTTACGGTGGCCAAGGTTCTTGAGATGTCAGTGCCAATCCTTTCCTACAAGGACCAGCATCCTGCTGAGGTGGAAAGGGCACAGACTTTGAAGACAGCCAGGCTTGCTTCAAGCTCTGCTTCATTGGCTACATGATACTGAAGAAGGTAACATCTCTCTGAACCTGTTTCTACAAGTGGTGATAAAGCCTACCTCACAGGACCATCCTTGAGGACTAGGTATCATGACAGAGAGGGCACACTGGCATGTGATGGGTAGGTACTTCATAAACATCTTATCAAACTCCAGGTCTAGGTTTTGCCCTAGGGCTACAGCCAAAGGGCCGAGCTAGTGTTCACAGAGAGTAAAGGCAGGACCCACCTATTGCAGACGCTGCAGTGGTGTGTTCGGGCTGGCTTGGGGTAGATGCACTTCTTACAGATGGAGACGGTTGCGATATCATTCCTGCCCTGTGCAAAGAGAGAAAAGCATCATGACAACTGTGGCAGCACCAGTTTCATACTTCAAAAGATACTGAAACACTCTCTCTGCCCACTCCTGGGACTGGCTCCCACGGCCAGCAGCCTCTGCCTCCCCTAACCCCTGTGGAGACCCACCTGGGGTGGATATCCAGGTGGAGTGGTGATGGCCTGGTAGTAATGGAAGACGATGAGGATCAGATTCCAATGACTATAGAAGAAATGCCAGCAGAGTCGTGGCACTGAGTAGGTTCGGAGAATGAGGGGTAGGACACATAGGTAGGCGATGGCCACGATGGAGCCGGTCAACACAATCACCAGTACCACGAACACCTGCCAACACCAGTGACGTCAGGTAGGTGCAGTGAGAGAGCTTGCCAACACCCAGGGTAGCTCAGGAATATCCCTGGGGTAGGGGCTGGTGTGGGTCCATCAGACACATGTTCCTCTGCTACCCCAAAACATCCCTCTTCCTGCTCCCTGGGCATCACTCACCACCCCACACCAGCGGATCACGTTGTCCACCAGCCAGTAGATAGGCTCAAAAGCAGCATCGACAGCAGTGTCACCGCCCCCGAAGGAGTTGTAGACCAGGGAGCGCAGGCAGACCTTGCCATAGCGCCAGCGCTGTACCAGGCCCCGGAGCAGAGGTGGGCAGCGGCGCCTGGAGCCCAGGAGCAGAAGCAGGCGCAGGCAGAGGCGGGCAGGGCCCAGCAGCAGGCTCCGCTGGCCCTGCATGGCTCCTAGGAGAGCACACCATTGTGAGCGGCCAGACTGGGTCCTATCGCTTCCTAGCCCACCAGTAGGGAAGTCCTGAGCACCAGCTTAGAAGTAAAGACCTAAGACTGAGGCCCAGCTGGGCCAGTTACCAGCTGTGGGCAGAAGAAAGTCACTTTAATTTTCTACGGAATGTGCAGTGTCAGTGTCCCAACCAGACTATAGGGGGTAGGGTCTAGAGGTTCTAATCTGGCAAAAATCATTACACTATGTGGTTACACAGCAAATCCAAGATGATGCCCAGCTAGAGTAAAGGGCCACAGTGAAGGGGTGAAGGAGGGGTAGGTGGCTCCAAGACAAAGCAGGGTCTTTGGAGTTATCTGTGTAGACAGACCATGGGGTGGAGCACAGCCAACATGCACAAAGCTGCCCACTGTGTCTCTGAGCATGGCCCCTGTGGCAGAGGGCTCCCCATGCCCTGCCAGCCCTGGCCATTGACCTACCTCCTAACAACTGCTCTTCACCAAGGAACAGCCACTGGTGGGGTGAGTGCACAGTAAGTGGACCGTGCACCTGGCGCTAGCTAAGTCTTGGCAAAAGATACTGATCCTTGCCTGGCCGGTGTGGTCCAGTGGTTGAGTGTTGACCCATGCACCAAGAGTTCACCAGTTCGATTCCCAGTCAGGGCACATGCCCAGGTTGTGGGCCCGATCCCCAGTGCAGGGCATGCAGGAGGCGGCCAGTCGATGTTCTCTCTCATCGATGTTTCTATCTCTCTCCCCCTTCCTCTCTCTCTAAAAATAAATAAAGAAAAAAAAAAAGATACTGATCCTTCCTACTCCTCTGGGTTGATATTATAGGCCACCAGACCCAACCTGGTAGCATGAGAGTCCCTGTCTCCTGTCAGGACAGCTCAGCTACCCCTGCATGACATAAGATGCTTATGGAATTGTCTTCAATTCCAGTCCCAGCACCACCTCAAGGATACAAAAGCCAAGACAACTTCGGGTATTCAGGCAGGAAAACACTAGCAAGTGGGAGGGGAGCCTCTATGCTGGTGACTCATGACCTCTCCGCTGAATCTCTTCTGCCTGTTCTAGCTGAACATTCAAGAGACTTTTCGCCCAGCTGGTGTGACCCATGGACCAAGAGGTCGCCAGTTCGATTCCCAGTCAGGGCACATGCCCAGGTTGTGGGCTCAATCCCCAGTGGGGGGTATGTGGGAGGCCGCCAATTGATGTGTCTGTCTCATCAATGTTTCATCTCTCTCTCCCTTCCTCTCACTCTCAAAATCAATAAAAAAAAAAAATATATATATATATATATATATATATACACATATATATATATATTTTTTTTTTTTAAAAAGCCTTCTCTGCAGCTGCTGCCCTTGGTCCCAAGTTTCCCAACCAGCTTTCCTAGATCATTAGCCCTTTGCATGGCTCCTCTGTCAGTGCCTTCATCTCCTCTGTGTGGTGTCCACCTCATCCAACAGCCACAGGTCAGCTGCCCAGGCAATGCCCAGAACAGTGGACACAGATTCCTTTGATGATAGTCTCATCAATTCTGCAGATTAAAGTCCTTACCAGAAGAGAGATTATCTGATTTTCCCCTAGAGCCACTTTGTCCTCAGCAACTCCACTGACTTATTTAACAGGCAGCTCAAAACCCAGCAGAAACTAGAGGAGGCTGCTCCACTGTAGGGATGGTTTCAGTTCAGTAACTGGAGCAAGGTACTCTCCTTGCATCCTGGCTTATTACAAAAAGAAGGCTTTCAAAGAAAACACTTAATTACCTTCTTCCACAAGCCCTACAATGAACTAAGGGAAAAAGAATTCCGGCAGACAAGGCCAGCAGAGAAAGAGAAGACAATTCAGTCGGGACCTACTCTCTACAGCAGGATAAAAAAATGGCCATTCCCATATCACTAGGAACTAGAGAATTAAGAGGCCGTGTAGAAGAGAGAAAAAGGAAAAACTCAAACTTCCCACCTCCTTTGAGGTAGACTCCCATTGTTTGGAACCATGATTTGGCTTAAACCATCAATTTTCAAAATAATATATATGGCCACTATAATCCAATATAAGAGTGAGACAACATCTGCCCCACAACAAATCCAAGAGACTTAGATTGTCCAAACCACTGTTTATTCCCTTACTATGGCTAATGGAGTTTCCTACTTGCTAAAATACAATAGCAATAGCTTGCAAATAAGATGAATTTCTCATCTTTATTAACATGAATTATGTGCCATCTCTCCTGTCTACAAATCAAACTTCCTTCTCAGATTCTCCACTTTTTAGTTTATTCTCAACCACCTCCAGGAAATGCCTGTTTCAAGGACTAGATTTACCAACTTTTATCTACCATAATTTGACTACTCAAAGTTAAATTCTGCCCTTATGTGGTTCTGTGACCTTGGACAAATCACTGAATCCTGCCTGAACTTAATTTCCTTGTGCTCACATTCAAAAAGGACAAGTAAATGCTAAGGTCCCTTCTAGTTCTAACCCTTTATGATTCCATATACCCACTTGGTAAGGTATAGATTAAATGTTTATAAAGTTCTTAGCACAATACCTGGCTCATGGAAGTGCTCAATAAATACTTGTTGAATGAATGACCTGGGATGCAGAAGTGGAGAGGCTGGTCAGATGTCTATCAGTCCTACAAATAACAGGAATGGCATTCCTGCCAATGTAATAACACTAAATAAGTGTCTGCTGCTATTATTCCTTGTTGTTAGAATCATAGCACTTAAGAGTTAGAAGGCATTTTAGAAAACAATTTCAACCAGAAATCAACTCAAACATGTAAACAGAAAGCTTGTAGATGCAGAGAGCAACAGATTAGGCTTGAGTGGGGTTTGGGGGCTACGGGAGGCTAGGGAAGAGATACGTAGTCCATGGGGCCACAACTGAACATACATTCATCTCAGGAAATTTTAGGTAAAGCAGAACTCAGAAAATTGGGGGGGTGGAGCAAGGCAAGATGGGGGGTGATCAGAGTGAACAGGGGAGGAAACAGAACAAAGCACAACTGGACTATCACCCCACACAAGTAGTAGTAGCCACAGGCTATAGTGACATCTGCCACCAGATTAGAGGGGATTGCAGGCCATGGCACTCTCCTCTTCCAAAGGCTCTAAGTCAACATCTGTTTCCCAAGGGGAAACTGGATTTGGGGGTTGGGAGCATACACAGGGAAAGATGGATTTCAAAACCATCAGAAGGCAGAGGAAACTGCGATGAAATGACAAATCTCATCCAGAAAAAGATGTTCGTCTCGGGATGTTTGCAGTCTCAATCAGCAGGTGTCAATCATCAGCAAGAACAGCATTTTATTCATGTGCAGACTTCCCTTACGAACTAACATGATGGGAAGAGAAAAAGTCAAGGATGGGATCCGATCCTTAAGAGGATCCCACTGTGCAATAGAAAGCTGCAGCTAACAAAAACCGGGAAAAGATTTTATTTCTCAGTTGAGAGTACCATGGTTAAAATGCGATGTGCTGGAGGTCAAAAAACTTGGGTTCCGGTTTGGGCCCTACCTTAAACTATCTTGGAGACACTGGGTAATTCAAATCTTATCTCTGTATCTGACTTTGCAAATCTGTAAAATGGGCGAGATGGATTGTTGGCCTCCTTCCAGCTTCGCGCGTTACAGCTGCCCAGCGGGTGCACTCCTCCTGGCTAGAGGAGTGCACGGACGTTCAGGACTCGGCGAGGAGACAGCAGGAAGCCGGGCTCAGGACAAGGCCCCGGAACAGGGCCCGACCCTAGCAAAAGGGACAGGACTGAGGAGCAAAGGCCTGCCGACTTACCTGCCTCCTGCTGACTCCCCAATCAGCCAAATCGAGCCCGCAGCGTCCGCTCACTGCCACCCCCTCCAGCTCAGCGCTCCAGGCCGGCACGGTTCAGTCCAACCAACCATGGCCCGCAGTCCGCAGAACCAGCCTGCAGACCCGGACCCGCCGCCAGCCCACCTTCAACCACCCGCGCGGGCGCAGGCGCAAGTACAGGGTTTCCGGAGCTCCGCCCCCGGATTCGCCCCGGGGCAACATGGGACATGTAGTTTACCCTTCCGAAAGGCGCCGTGAAGGTCACGTGGTAAACGCACCAATTGGCGTGTTTCTTATTGAGGTACCAGTCCTGGATTTTGGCCAATGAGAAGTCGGCTCCGTTTTCCTGCGGGCTTGGGATAGTGGCAGTCATGGCGCCACCCGTGAGGTACTGCATCCCAGGTAAGTGAGGGGTTCCCATAGCGAGTCCTGGATAGGGACGGAGCAAGAAGGCTGGATGGCCAGCAGCTTCCGGGCACCCGTGGCTGATGCAGCGATTTTTTCTGCAGGCGAACGTCTGTGTAACTTGGAGGAGGGCAGCCCAGGCAGCGGCACCTACACCCGGCACGGCTACATCTTTTCGTCGCTTGCTGGCTGCATGACGAAGAGCAGCGAGAACGGCGCGGTACAAGGGGGCGGCCTTCCATCTCTTCTGTCTCTGCCTTTCTCAGGCTGCCTTTCATTTCGCGGTCCTTCGGCAAGGGCACTGTGGACGCATCTTTAGTGCCTTGCTAGGAAGAGTTGGTCTCTTCAGTTTCTTCCAGCTGTGGTTCCTGCTGCTGGCCACTCAGAAAGTACAGGCCAATTGTGTTGCTGACACCCTGGGAAGGATGTTAAGGGAAGAACAGTGGCGAGCTCAGCCCTGCAGTGAGCTGAAACCAGTCCCAGTGTCGCCTACCTCTTTGGCATCATATCCCCACCTCGCTGCAATCTGGTCATCCAGGTTTCTTTCAGCATGGCTAATGCTCTAAGCTCTCTCCTGCCACAGGGCCTTTGTACGCACACCATCTGCCTAGAACACACTTTTCCCTCTCGTTAGACTATTTAGTTCCTGCCTATCCTTCAGATAGCCTAAGTATCACTTCCTCAGCGAAGCCCTCCTAGACCCATTAGTTGAGGAAAGGAGTTTTGTTTTTTGTTTATTGTTTTGTTAAACACAAAGAATTATGTTTCTTTCCTTCTAAGTATTTATCTCATCATATTATTAAACTTTCAGTTAAATGTTCCCCACTAGACTCTTAAGATTCACAAAAGCAGGCCTCACCACCATCCCTTCAGTGCCTAGCACAAGGTAAATGCTCAATAAACATTTGTTAACTGCATGAGTAATACTGTCATCCTTAGTTCCAGAGCCTAATACTGCGTTAACTCTGGATCAGATAAGCAATCTTTGAAGGAGCAGCTTAAGAAGACAGGTAGCATACTGGAAAGAAGATTCAGAATTAGAACACTTAGGTGCTGGCTAACTAGACCTTCATTTTGCTTTATGTGAGAAACAAACTCTCCAGCTTTAGTTCCTTCTTCATCTGTAAAGTGAGAGGCTTTTTATTCAGTTTTGGGAATGTCCTTAACATTCACAGGTTTGTTTATTTCATAGGTATAGATAACTGTTGAGCATTTTCATGTGACAGGCTCAGTGCTGACCTCTAGTGATATGGTAATGAGCCAAATACACATGGTTTCTGCTATCAAGGAGCGCAGACACAAATTGTAAACAAATAAATGCTGAAATGAATGTATGGTTACAAATGCACTGACTAAACGAATATTACAGGGTACCATTAGAACATGTCATAGATAAATCCACCCTAGTCAGTGGAAGTGACATTTAGCCAACCTAAAGAATAAATAAGGAGAGTTCAGTCCTAGCAAAAAGAACAGGTTGAACAGAGCTCCTGAGGTGGGAAGAAATGTAGTGAGTTGGTGAAACGGAAAGAAGGCCAGGACAGCCAAAGCATAGTGAACAAGGGAGAGATTAATAAAAGATGAGGTTCGCCCTGGCCGGTTTGGCTCAGCGGTTAGAGCGTCGGCCTGCGGTCTGGAGAGACCTGGGTTCGGTTCCCGCTAAGGGCACGTACCTCGGTTGCAGTTTGTCCCCGGCCCTGGTTGGTTGTGCGGGTGGCAGCCACTTGATGTGCCCCTTCACATTGATGTTTCTCTCTCTCTCTCTGTTCCTCTCTCTCCCTCCCACTCTACCTGAACAAAAAATGGAAGAATGTCCTCGGGTGAGGATAAAAAAAATAAAAATAAAAAAATAAAAGATGAGGTTCAAAAATACTATTTATTTTATACCAACAGCCGATACCATGCTCAAAGAGAAACTTAAACCAGAAGCAAATAAATATGGCCACTATTATATATTTATTTGGAAATTCTAGCTTGTACAATAAAGTGAGAAATAGAAAGAAGCAATGTAACTTTGGAGGAAAAGAGTCAAATTATCCATGATTATAGGCAAGAAATTGTATACCAAGAAATTTCAAGGCAGTCACACACACAAAAACTTGTTTAGAACTAATCTGAAATGGTTAGATTATATCTTCTAGCAGCATTCTTTCTGTGACCCTCCTATTTTCTAAAATTTCTAAGGCTTTCTGCTCTGAGCTACAAACGATTCTGTTGTCCACATGCCCTCATAGCCTCAACTGTGGACCACGGCATTCCTATATTACACTCAAACCACAGATGCCTTTGCCCAAGGCTTAGCCAGGATACTCACGTTTTATTGTTTTCTGTGTAGCTTCCTGTTGTATCTGTGATGAGAGAAACAGAATCCCAGTTACTGCCAGATGTGGGAGCTATTGTAACCTGTAAGGTAAGTCTGTTCTAACCTCGCTACTTAGGATGCCCACATCCAATGCTGAAATCATGATCATTGTAGAACTGTACTGTTCAGTATGGAGCCACTAGCCACATATGGCCACTTTAAGTAAATTAAATTTTTAAATTTATTTATCAGTTTTACTAGCTACGTTTCAAGTTCTTAATAGCCACATGTGGCTAGTGGTTTCCATATTGGTCAATACAGAACATTTCTGTCATCACAGAAAGTTTTACTGCACTGTGCTGGTCTAAAGAGATCTAGGATTGCCAGCTGGTGTGGCTCAGTGGTTAAGCGTCGACCCATGCACCAAGAGGTCGCTGGTTTGATTCCTAGCCAGGGCACATGCCCAGGTTGTGGATCAAATCCCCAGTGTGGGGCATGCAGTAGGTGGCCAGTCAATGTTCTTTCTCATCAATGTTTCTCTCTCTCTCCCTCTCTCTCTAAAGTCAGTTTTAAAAAAGAAGATTTCTAAGATAATGATTAAAGCATTCAATTTCAGATTTGCGTGGTTCTTTCACAGGCCAGGTTCCCTGAGTATGTAGTTTTACTTGTATCTGGGGAACGGGCTCCAAAGGATGGTAAGGAGGCCTATCTTTAAATATCTGAAATGAGACCTTTTTCTCCAGAGAAGCAAAAGACCTTATACTGTAGCGTTCCTGTGAAATGTAAAGTCTTTCATGGGAAGTACAAATGAATGCTGTACTGATCAGTAACTATAGGATGTCATCCCATCCTCTGCCAGGTTACATTAACTTGGAGCTCCTAGTTTGTCTCTTTATAACTTGTTCCAGCAAAATATCTATGTGTAATTCTGAAAATTACTGGAGAGGCAGTGATCCAAATATTATGCAGCAGCTGAAATGTAAACTTAAATTCCATCTACTTTATAGGCCTCTTAGTAAGATCTGTTAAAGGTCTAGATTTGCCCTGTGTGTGTGTTATGTTAGGCATCTATATTTTTTCAAAATTTATGCTGTGCTATTTTCTTTGATTCCTACAGCAAGTTCATTGGCCAGAGTGGCTCTTATTCCACTTTATGGAAGGATAAATAGGAGTTAATTTGACTTAAATTCTATACTTAGTAGGGGTGTTTGGACTAAAGTCCTCATAGTTCCTAGCTTATTGCTGCCTCCCTGAGTTGACAACTGCTAATACTCTAATGCTTATCTTTTCTTTATTTCACAGGTCTCTAGCATCAATTCACGCTTTGCCAAAGTACACATCCTGTATGTGGGATCCACACCACTGAAGAACTCTTTTCGAGGAACTATCCGGTAAGAAGTATTCTTGTTTTCACACTTGCATCTGGAATAAGATTGGAATTTTTAGAAACAATTGCAATTCCTCCTGCTGCCTTGTTTCTCTCCTCTTTGTGCTTTGATTTGCCCCAGGCGGTATCCTAAAAAAATACTGTAATATATTAGTTAGGACAAAAGGAAAATATTAACAAGCTAGTGCCTAAGAATAAAGCAAAAAGATCTGAAGTAAGCCTGGCCAGTGTGGCTCAGTGGTTGAGCATCGACCCATGCACCAAGAGGTCACTGGTTCGATTCCCAATCAGGATACATGCCCAGTTTGTGGGCCAAAACCCCAGTGGGGAGCACGCAGGAGGCAGCCAGTTGATATTCTCTCTCATTGATGTTTCTCTCTCTCTCCCTCTCCTTCCCTCTCTCTCTCTCAAAAAAAGAAAGCAATAAAGAAAAAAATTTTTTTGATAAAATAACTGAGCTAAGCTAGAGATTAGCAGTGTGGGATGACTCATATCAAAGTAGAAAGTATTTAGGAAGTACCTTCCTTTCTTGAATTTAATATAGATTAAACCCAAGGATTGTAAGACATTACCAAGGTTAGTGAATAGAATATAAATGGTAGCTTTTTTTTTTTCCTGTGGATTCTTTGAGAAGGGACAAACGATTCTTGTAGCTGGGTAGTTGAACTTCTGAGGCCCTTTCTACCCTCAGGATTCTGTGTGGTTCTATTTTGCTTCTGTTCAAACTCTCCTAAAGCAGCAAAGTTTCTTATCTTTTCTTTCCAAATCTGATCTGCTTTTTGCTAGTCAGAGGTATTGATCCTGCTGCTCTGCGTGATCCAAGAATGTGAAATGTGATTTCCTTCTCTCTGTGAGGCCTGAGATGCTTTTCCACCCTTCTCTGGGTGGCAACTGGGTCCTAATTACAACTTGATCTCTGCTCTTATAGCTCTTTGTCTGCTAGTCTGGTAGGCATCTGCAGGGTAATTCTTTCTCACAGATAATTAATCTTCCTGTTAATTTTTTTCTTATAGCAAGGAAGATGTCCGAGCCACTGAAAAAGACAAGGTTGTTGGTTGGTTCTTTCATTTTTTTTTTCTTACTTTAGGAATCTCAATCCTTTTAAATTATTCCAGTGAATTTTTAAACTCTGTGGGAATGTGGAGTCCAAAGAATTTGAAGGTGTTCCCTACTGGAAAGTGTGGAGTTCACCTCGCTGTCCGTTTCCTCTCTATATGAGTTTTGTTCACTCTGTTGACCAGAGCGGGGCTGGTTTACTCTTTGCCTTTTAAGCCAGGTATTTATTCATTGCTGTTTCCTCAGACTTAACTCTTGGCCACCTTTTGCCCAAGTCAGATTCCTAATCAGGTTACCGGATTCAAAATCTTTCATTTATATGACAATACTGTAGAAGTGATAAAAGTTGTTGGCTTACCTGAGTAATGATGAGTTCTACCCTCTGAGATTAGAAAGTAGACTGATTCTACCAGAGGGGTTAATAGTTTCTTGTAGACCTAATCTAGAGTTTTCATTTAACACTCCTGTTCTTTCTTTACAGGTTGAAATTTATAAGAGTTTTCGCCCAGGTGACATTGTCTTGGCCAAAGTGGTATCCTTTATTCCCAGCAGACTTGTGATCCTTTGACAAAAGAAGAAATGGAAGTAGAGAAACAACTCAAGTGGCTATGGGAGGGAAGATTTATACTCCTTCATTTTCCTTCACCAGTGTTATGTGACTAGATCTCCTTAGGTGATGCACAATCCAACTACCTCCTGACCACTGCTGAAAATGAACTAGGGGTAGTGGTGGCCCACAGTGAATCAGGTGAGTTGGTCCATGCTTCCACATGCTTACCTTTCCCTGGAAGCTATGATTTGGGATTAATCCATTGTTTTCTTTCATTTCCCTCGTTTTGTAATTATTTAGGAAGCAATGTGAATGTAGATACCACTGAGATTAGAATGATTCTTATATAAATCTAAGGAAAGGGGAATAAGGCTTACTTATCCCTCCATAAGTCACTGGAATAAACAAGTTTTTTTCTGTATGGGGTGGGGGTTCACTAGGTGACACTTCAGTTCATACCCAGCTAGAAAGAGAAGGATCTTGGGCAAATATTTGGAGTACCAGCTTCAACACCAGCTTTTCCCTTTTAGGTGTTCAGATGGTTCCCATCAGCTGGTGTGAGATGCAGTGCCCTAAGACCCACACTAAAGAATTCCGGAAAGTGGCCCGTGTGCAGCCCGAGTTCTTGCAGACCTAAGAAACTACATTTACCCCAAGGAGGGGGTAAGCTGTTTCCAAGAGTACATGTATGAGAGTAACAGTAGGATGCCATTGTCTTTATTCAAATACCTGTGGTCAGCGAGCAAGCAGCGGTAGAAAACTCTGCCAGAAACTAACTCTGTAGTTGGAACGTTTTTCTTGTGAACCTTTCTGTGGATTTCATTCTCCTGAGTGATAAAGTTCTCTTTTGGAGGCTTCATAAACATACTGTATAATGTGGGAAATAATCCATTTCTTCTGACAGTTATAAATACCTATTTTTTGTTGTGACAAAACTTTTATTAAAAAGATTTTATGGTTTCTATTGTGTTGAGTAGGGAAAGGGATCTGAACTGTGTCATGACAGTAAGAGCAGGGGTTTGCCTGGTGGCATCCATTAACGGACGTGTCGAGTGCTTGCGTGCTCTGGACAAAGCCTGATCTCTAATTATTTTGTATTTTTTGTGTTCTAAGTACTTCTGGTAATTGAGTACTTCCTGTGTGTCAGGCATTGGTTCAAGCACTTTATATATGTTCCATCATTCAGAGAGATTATGGTTTACAGAAAAATTATAGGACACCTGTGGTGGTTCTTGAAATTTACTTAGTAATCATAGTGTTATTGATAGAGTGAGTACTCCAGGAAACGTTTGTTAAATCTGAATTGAACAAATAATTCCTGTGAGGAGGTCAGGAAGAGATCTGTAACATGAGGTAAAGGAATTAAAGAACTAAGATAAGTGAAGATATTCAAGGCAGAGAGAAGCCCAAGCAAAGTGCATAAACAGAAATGAACACATAAGTTTGAGGATGAGGATGGCATAATGGTTAAGCATGGAAATGTTGAAGAGGGAATGGACAGAACTGTGAATTATGAGATGTCACTTCTTGAGGTGCTATTCAGGGATCCACATCTTTTATGTGTAGTGACAGTGATTGAGGGCTAGCTTTGGAGTCAAGCCTCTAGTTCTAGCCTTGAGCATGTTAGGTGGTTTTGTTGTGTTTTTTTTTAATTGAAACTTTTATTCAGATAATAAGTCTGCATGCAGTTTTAAGAAATTATACAGAGAGATCCCCTGTACACTTTTCCCAGGTTCCCACAATGGTATCATTTTGCAAAATGATACTATAACAATCAAGATATTGACATGGATACTTGAGCAAGCTAATTTCCTTTTTTTTTAAATATATATATTTTTATTGTTTTGTTTTTTGTTTTTTGGGTTTTTTTTGGTGGGAGAGAGATAGAAACATCAATGTGAAAGAGAAACATTGATTGGCTACCTCCTGCATGCCGCCTACTAGGAATTGAGCCCACAACCCAGGGCATGTGCCATGACCAGGAATCAAATTGGGAATCGAACCGGGACCTCTCATTCCATGTGGTGTCGCTCATAATTTAAATCTGTCCCTCATCTGAAATAGTATGACCTCATAGGATTATTATAAGGAAGAAAAGCATAAAAGTGCTCAGTACCTGCCAATAATATTGTTATATATTATTGTTATATATCTGATTGCCTTCTATGAAGTATCTACTAAATGTCAGGCCATATACTGGACACTTACATGTAGTTTGTTTCATCAGTCCCCTACTGATAGATATTTTAAAACTTTACAGGTTTTTTCTTTTACAGTGCTGCAGAGAATACACCTATATCTTTGTGCATGCCTGATTGTTTTACAAAACAGATTTCTGAAAGTGAGATGCTGGGTCAAAGAATACGCATTTTCAGTTTTGGTTAGATTTTCCCTATTGTTTGCAGAAGAGTGCTACCAATTGATTCTTTCAACAACAGTGTTAGCAATTTTATTTATCTTGGAACTTCACGGTGACCCTGAAAAGCAGCAATTATTTCGATTTTACAGAGGCTTAGAAAAATTAACTTGCCCTAAGTCACACAGACATCAAGTGGCAGAGCATTATTCAAACCCAGGTCTGTCTTACTGTAAAGCCCAGATTTTCTTATGTAAAATGCTGCCTGTTTTCCAAGCATCGAACATAACCTTGGACATGCAATTAGAGGCTTTCTGAATTGACAGTGCTTCATTAATTATGAGTGTTTGTTGTACATCGTTTATTTATTTAACGAATACATATTGAGCAACTACTCTTCCCACCACTGCACTATTCGTGGAACTAGGGGGAAAACAGTGAGTATGATAGAATCCTTTCCTTGTGGAGCTTACATTCCAGTGGGGGCAAGACAGATACTAAGTAGACAAAGAAATGTTATATTTGAAGTAATTGTTATGATAGCCTTCTCTGATCTAGTGCAGACTAGGTTAGCTGTTCTCATCCTTAACCATTCACTGGTGTATTACAAGTTAGTTATGTGCCTGTCTCCCCTACCAGCCTGAGCTTTTGGGGAAAGATTCTCTTAACTACCTTTGCATCCCCAGTTCCTGGTACTGTGACTAACACATAGCAAATACTCAATAAAAAATGTTGGCGTGGTCCTGGCTTGTTTGGCTCAGCAGTTAGAGCGTCAGCCCATGGACCAGTGAGTCGCGGGTTTGATTCTTTCTGGTCAAAAGCACCTACCTCAGTTGTAGTTCACCCCCAGCCCTGGTTGGGATCGTGTGGGAAGCAATCAGTTGATGTTTCACATTAATGTTTCTCTCCCTCCCTCCCTCCCTCCCACTCTATCTGAAGATAAATAGAAAAATATCCCTGGGTGAGGATTTTTTTTTTTTTAAATGTTGGCGTATACTCAGAGCTGGCTGAACACCTGTGCCCAGTGATGTTTAGTGATGGTGGTATTTGGTAATCTATAAATTTGTTCTAGAAACAAGAATATTCTTTCTATGCCTTGGAACAGTGGTTTTTAGCCTGGGTTAGGTAAGCATCAAAATTGCCTGTAAAGATATAAAGTGATAAAGTGCCCTAGCTCTGCTTTCACATCTCGGGGTGAACCCAGAGCAGGTGGTTGGGTTGGGGTTTTGTTTGTTTTTCTTTTGGCTCCATAGATGATTAGGATGTAGTACCCTGGCTAAGAAGCACTGTCTTGGGAGGATCGTAGTTATCCTCCTAGTGGTAAATGATGCTGGCCTTCTGTTATTTCCCTGCCTATAAGGCATTTCTAATGAGAACCTCTTTTCAGTTGCAAGGAATGGAGACAGCTATAGACAGAAGACATGTCAGAACACAGACTGACATTACTCCAAGATGACAAAGTCTGACTTGGCTGAAGAGCACTTGATCAAACAAAATTACCAACTTGCTCTAAGATACAGTACAAGCGAAATAAACTTCCCATCAGGCCGTTGGAGACTTAAGTTATCAAAGGTCTTCCTAGGTCAAATAAAAAACTAAACCTAAAAGGCAAGATGCTTTTAAAAGTATTGAAATTTTAGAATAAGGACCTTGATTTTCAGTTGAACTAACAGTCTTCACCTGGGTTTCAGTATTTACTAGTATACCTTCTAGCAAGTTTCTATATCTCTTTGGGCCTGTTTTCTATAAATGGGGTACCAGACCTTACAGACCTTGTCAGGACTAGAGATTTTGTATATAGTGTGCCTCACCCAATGGCTGGCCAGGGGAACTTCATTCTAGCTGAATAGATACTACCTCTTGCTAGTAGACAAGGCCTTATGTATGGGCTTTCTCACATTCCAGTGACTTTTTCAAAGGCCTGAGAGAGAAGGTAAATGTGAGCATCCCTTCCCATTTGTGTATATAATTATTCTTGGTTATGTGTAATTTTCAAAAATGTTAATTGACGGGCAGTGCTAAAACTTTAGGGGCCAGCCCTGGTTAAGTGGCTCAGTTGGTTGGAACACTGTCCCAATATACTAAAGGTTATGGCTTCGATCCCCGGTCAGGGCACATATAAGAGTCAACCAATGACATAAATAGGTGGAATAGCAACTTGATGTCCCCCCCCCCCCCAAAAATCAGTAAAAAAAAAAACAAAAAACTTTAGAGGCTAAAAAGAAAGGTACAAATCAAGTCTACAAGTAACTAATAGAAAGGATTAGCTTTCAAAAAAAATCTGGTCAGGCCTTTACCTTACTCTAAAGAGGGCACAATAGTTTAGAATTTGACTTTCCAGTCAAGGAGCATCTGGTAACCAGCACCACTGAGCAAGAGCTGTAGAGAGGCAACAGGAGTGAAGCTCAGCCCGGAAGATGTGCTCACCCCCACTCCTGCAGCCTGAGGTGGGAAACCTAGTGAGATACATGATTTTGGACCAGGCTGTGTAAAGTTGTGACTGGTTGTCCTGAATCTCTTAATCTGTCATACAAGGACTTGGGTAATGAGCCATTTCAAGTTAGTTGTTCAAGCTGATTTCCTCAGACAAGATATTACACATCACAGAGAAAATATTGCACATCACTCCTTTATTATACTGATCTGGAAAAAAGATTTAGTAGTTATGCTCAAAATGCGTACTGGGCCCAAGTGGCAGGGCCAAGCAACTGGAACCGGACTCAGAACTCAGACACAGTGAAAGACACACCTGGACATGATCAAGAGACATTTCACTGCCATAAAACAGTAAGGCAGGGGAGGGATTCTAAAACACACAGCAAGATAACTCCTATACCTTACAAGTAAAGGAGCTTATCCCACCTTGGTGTGAGGAATGGCTTATTTGTGATGACCACATGTGGGAATAGTTCAACCGCCACTAGAAACCCCAGAAGGGTTTTGGTTTTGTATTATTTTATATAGATACACTTTTTTCTTTTATTGTAAAAGTAAATGCAACACGTAAACATTCAGGACTGATCCCAATCTTTTGGAGCCAGCTTTTCTGGGGTCAGGGAGGAAATGTTGGTTTGAATCACCACACATTCATCTCACTGGAATGACTAGAGCCCCCCAGTCACCTGACTACAGAATAGTACAGGACTGCTCCTGGGAACACAAATAGGCTCTCTTGCCTCTCTTCATTGGTCACGCCTTAGCATGGCTCCTCCCTATCCCCCTACTCCAGCAGGTCCTTAGTAATAAACAAAGCACTAGCGAAAAAAAAAAAACTGGAGTTACTACCTCTGGACTCTCTTCCCGCAGCCTTAGACTAAGGACCCTTACCACAGGGTCCTGACTAGATTGCATGAAGGAAGTGGGTACAAGAGACAAAATGGCTAAAACAAAATTGGAAGCCACTAGTCCCCATCTGCAGCTACAACCTAAAATGCCTACAGATGTGGTCAGTGTGACGTGTGCAGAGGAGAGATGCAGAGAAATGGGACGGGCAGGGAGGGTGTCCTTGGGAAAGTAGTCTGCCTGCTCGCCTTCACTTCTTGGCCTTGCCCTGAGCAGCCACGGCCTCCATGGCTTTACGCACGGTCTCTTCATCCCCCAGGAACTGCATGGGCTTGATGGGCTTCAAGTTCTTGTCCAATTCATAGACAATGGGAATACCAGTTGGCAAGTTCAGCTCCATGATAGCCTCTTCAGAAAGACCTGAAAATATCCACCATGATTAGCCAAGCAAGATATGACTCCACAACCCCCTTAGGTTTACTATTTATCCTCCAGGTTACAAAGGACTTTGGTGGGAATTAAAACAAGATGCTCTTTCTGATATTTGAAATAACAATAATAATTATCTGTACTATCTATATAGCTCGAACTCCCAAGGAATGCCCCCAGTACTTATTTCTCAGCCACTGAAAAACAGGAAAAAGGATGAAAGGTGTGTACTGCAGATCTCTCTCCCAAAGTGGGGTCCAGAAGCCCACAGTGAAAACAACTGAAGATGCAAATTGAGATTCATGTGTGAAATTGTACCAGATTGTGATTAAGGAGGATTTTATCAGCAGTTTCAACTGGCAGTCCTAATCAAGAAGTGGGCATCTCTAACTTTAATGTGTATCTAAATCACCTAGGTGATAGATGCAGCCTCTGAATTAGGTCTGAAGTGGGACCTGAAGTTCTGCTTGTATAGCGAAGCAACCAGGGGGCCCGGCCACCTCTGCTTCTCCAGAAGATACTTTGAGGAACAAGGGTACAAGGTGTTTCCTCTAGGAATCAATCCAGACTATCTTTAAGGCTATCAATATGTCCAGCTCTTTTCCAGAAGGTTTCCTTCATATTAAATAATTAAATCCCTGATTAGTGGCAGTTCTGCTTTATCCCTCCTTGAGGGCCCCTCTGAACAATGCACATACCCTCCAGATGTTTGACAATGCCCCGAAGACTGTTGCCATGGGCTGCGATCAATACCCGTTTCCCCTCCTTGATCTGGGGGACTATTTCTTCATTCCAAAAGGGCAGAGCTCTGGCAATAGTGTCCTTCAGACTCTCACAGGAGGGTAGCTGATCTTCAGTGAGGTCTGCATACCTGCGATCCTAAATAATAACAAAAAAATCCAAGTTCAGCAATTATTAGAAGCTGCATCTGTTTCATCCATTCCTCTCTCCTACCCCCACCAAGGGGTCAAATCTATGGATAAAGGTCTCTCCCCAGGGCACAGGATGCAGCCGAGCTTGTGAAAGGAGTAATTATTACGCTGCCCCTTTATCCCCATCACCCACTAGGAAAAGTAACAGTTCACAAGAAACAAAACTTAGAAAAGGAGAAAAAGGCTCTTTCCAATTTTATCTTACAATTGGCTTAGGAAGGCCCTAAACCTACAGATGGGTTTTACAAAATATGGCTGTGGAGACATAAAAATACATATACAAATTGGTTTTACATAAAAAAGATAAACTACTACTTTTAACAAGTGAAGGCCATTCCTTGGAGAAGGGTGGTTACATATAATTTATGAACCATTTTACCATAAATTATAAACTCAATGGGACTAGGCCACACTAATAACAGCTAAAGAATGAGGCAGACTCTAATCCCCGGTCTTAGGTTGAGTGAGCCAAACCTCAGCTAGTACATACCTTACTGATGTTGCTGTAGAAGGGATGGTCGGGCTCCATCGGTGGTGGTGGGATATCATAGGAGCGCCTCCAGATCTTGACCTGGGCCTCGCCATGCTTGGCAGCAGTTTCTGCTTTATTAAGGCCAGTCAGACCCCCATAATGACGCTCATTGAGACGCCAAGTCCTCACTACAGGCAGCCACATTTGGTCAATGGCATCTAGCACTGTCCAGAGGGTCCGAATTGCTCTCTTCTGCACTGAGGTGAAGCAGATGTCAAACTCATAGCCAGCATCTGGAAGTTGTAAGTTCAAAGTGATAAGCTAATCAGGTCCACTCTGGGAGTCAGACTTTTCTTACATATAAATCTCCTGTACAGTTAGTCCAAATGAAAAATATTGGGTTAAATATTTAATTTTGTATACCCTAGCAGGAAAAACAATATTCTGCCTTTGAAGAAGATAAAATTTGTTGACTTATGTTATAGTTGATGACATATCTTCCAGTGGTTCCCTAATAATACATCTAACCCAAGGCCTAAATGTCGTGGCAGCCAACTAACCTGCTGTCAGTGCTGCTTATCCTAATCCCCAGAATGCTGTGCTTTAATTCAACATATTTTAAGAATTTATTTCAGCTTCAATTCTTTCAAGAAAAGGACACTAAAAACTTTGAATCTCTTAATAAACAATAACATTAATATAGAGGGGTTACCATCTGTCAGGAATTGGACTAAGTACTTAGTGTTTTATTTAGTCTTCATAACAATCCCATGAGGTTACAATCCTTAAAATCTGTTTTACCAGATGAGAAAAATAAAGACTAGAAGAGTTAAGCAAATTATACAAAATCATGGCTATTACCTGACAGATTAAAACCCAGGCTGTGTGTGACTCCAAAATCCAACTCATAACGACCATCTCTAGCTACCTCCATATTTTCCTAAACCCTAAGGTTCTTTGTATTTTATTTATAACTGTTACTTCTGGTTGATAATTATTAATATATTTCAGTCCAGCCCTGGCCGGTTTGGCTCAGCGGTAGAGCAATGGCCTGCAGTCCAGAGAGACCCAGGTTGGGTTCCCGCTAAGGGCATGGACCTCGGTTGCAGTTTGTCCCCGGCCCTGGTTGGGTCGTGTGGGTGGCAACCACTTGATGTGTTCCTTTCACGTCGATCTTTCTCTCTCTCTCTCTCTCTCTCTTTCTCTCTCTCTCTCCCCCTCCCTCCCCACTCTATCTGAACAAAAAATGGAAAAATGTCCTTGAGTGAGGATAAAAAAAAATAATGTATTTCAGTCCTCTCTAACCTCTGGTCTAGGGTAAGTGTAATTTTGAACTCCCAACAATTAGGACACAGCAAGAGCCAGAGGATACTGATAAAACTTTGTTGTGTGAAATTATATTTTCACTATAGAGTATGAAACCATATCACATCACAATCTCTTCATCCACAGTTCCTCTCTGCGACAGTCAAACTGTCAACCTATTCCTGAATATCCTGAGTGGGATATACACACCTAGGTAAACTGTTAAACCAAGTTTAGGAGAAGCCACTCACAGGAGAGAGGACAAATGCTGGGCACTGCCTGATTCATTTGCAAACAAATCTCTCCTCCACACAGCAGTTATTGAGGAGTGGTAGGCAAAAGCTACGGTTACGATTAATCTTATTTCATGTTTTATGAAAGATTATTTTCCCTCCCACTGTAAGGGGGAACATGGCCCTTTCCTTATGTAGTAGGCCAGGAAAACAGTCCCATTTTTCTCCATGAAGCTAAAAGGCCCTCTTTGAAATTCACCACACTTTCCTGAGTTTTGCCTCATATTGGAGTTGCCACCAGTCATTAATGAAATGTGAACTGAATTTTCCTGCCAGTCATTCAACGGAGAATGAGGCCAGTAAGAACTACACTGATGGGGGAAGAGAGGACTAATCACTAGGAAACCACCACCACCCACAAAGGAAGAAGGCACAGAGCTCATCACTGAGCTTCAGGACAAGTCCTAGTAGACTCAGTTACCATCTCCTCCCTAACTTTAAAGGGAGGAAAGGTACCCCAGTGAAAGGCTCGGTCACTGGGAAGCAACTACCCATAGTGCAAGCCTCAGCTCCCATGCTGAAAAGCTACTGGTTGTTTAGCTACAATTATTTCCACTTGCAATGGGATACATAAATAGGTCCCCAGGGAGAAAAGCAGTTCCCCTTAGGACTCTTAGAACTCTCAAGCTTCTTCCTTTCACTTGCCCATCAAGCAAAAGCATAGTCTAGGAAACTCCCAGGATGGGCTTACACCGGTGTGGTGTGGTATGGACTCCATCCTCCCCCAGGAATAAGATTGCTCAGGGAAACTAAGTTCTCAGTAGCGTCCTTCTGAAATCAGATTCAAGGGTCTATAAACCCTACAATCACTTAAAGCTCTGGTGAATGTAATGTATTTATTCTAGGTCTTTTATATTATTAGATTATTCACAATGGTCTTCAACATTCAGAGTGTTTGCTTTTAGTGTGGTTTTTTTTTATACTTACCCGAGGACATTTTTTGATATTTTGTTCAGATGGGGGGGGGGGGGGAGAGAGAGAGAGAGAGAGAGAGAGAGACATCGACGTGAAAGGGACACATCGAGTGGTTGCCACCCACATGACCCAACCAGGGCCAGGGACAAACTGCAACCGAGGCACGTGCCCTTAGCGGAACCGAACCCAGGTCTCTCCAGACCTCAGGCCAATGCTCCAACTGCTGAACCAAACAAGCCAGGGCTAGTCTTTCCTCTTTTAATATAATCATCTGTGATGCCCATAACAGGTATTAAGATTTTAAATGGGCCCTGGCTGGTTTGGCTTAGCGATTAGAGCGTCAGCCCGAAGACCAAAGAATCTCGGATTCGATTCTAGCCAAGGGCACGGACTTTGGTTGTGGTTTGTCCCCGGCCCTGTCGTGCAGGAGGCAACCAATCGATGCGTCTCTCTCACATCAATGTTTCCCTCTCTCTCTCTTCCCCACCCCCTTCCCTTCTACTCTATCTAAAGGTAAATGGAAAAAATATCCTCCGGTGAGGATTAAAAAAAAAAAGATTTTAAACAGGACTTTGTAAAAGTAATGCTATCAACATTTACTTAAAAACTGAAATAGGGTCTGTTATTTTAAGATTACAAATTTAACCTTTGATCATCAGTCTTAGAGAAAAGCTACAATTTCTTTGTCCTGAGCTAATTATTAGCAAACCACCATAGACCCATACAGTTCTTCCTGCAGGCAGCAGGAGAGAAAATGGCCTCCTTTACCAGCACTTTCCCTTTCCCGGCCTCTCCTACAACAGTATGAGGTCACACCAGACCATCCCAAAGCATTCACACATTTCCCAGACTTTCCAAACCTTTGCTTTATTTCAAAAGGATCTACTGTGAAAGCAAGAAGCTAGAGAGCAATCTGGGACCAGATACCTGTTCCACATCATCCAGGCATCACTGACCTGGTTTCTTTGTCCAGAGGTTAAAAGAGAGCAAGGCTAAACCTGGCCAAAGCACTTCCTCAGTCCTAAGATTCTTCGGCTTTCTGGCAGCAGGGAATGCTTCCTTTTTAGCATTCCAAAATCACAGACCTGTCTGCCCCAGGAGGCAACCCTGCCTAGGCAAGCTTATCTCACTGCCACTTCCACCTTTGCCCAGCGTCCTTGGCCAGCAGGTCCTCACACCTACCCATTACTCAACCCCAGAGCTGAGGCCAATGCGCTAAGAAGATACGACCTTGGACAAGTCATCTTTCCAATCCTCACTATCCCAACTAAATATAAAGGAGGGCTAGGAAGGAATGGGAAGGAGAGTCTTTTTTTTTTTTATCATCCTCACCCGAGGACATTTTTCCATTTTTTGTTCAGATAGAGCAGGAGGGAGAGAAAGCAAGAGAGAGAGAGAAACATCGATGTGAAAGGGACGCCACCCGCACAACCAACCAGGGCCGGGGACAAACTGTGACCGAAGTACGTGCTCTTACGGGAACCGAACCCGGACCCGGGTCCCTCCGGACCGCAGGCCGATGCTCTAACCGCTGAGCCAAACCGGCCAGGGCGGGAAGGAGAGTCTTAAATCTGTCTCCTTTATGGGGCTGTAGAGAGGATGAACTAATCATTCATTCACTCACTCACTCACTCACATTTACGGATGCATTTTGTGTACAGGATTTGTGGTATGCTGCTAAGCAACAATGACCTCAAGAATGGGATTCCTTGGTATAATGATGCCTGCTGGACACCCGCCCTCGTCCAGAGCCGCGGCACTACCCCCACAGCGGGAGATAAGTGTGTGATCTGTGGCTTCACTAGCATCCGCAGCAGCCTCTTGAGAAGGCTTAGTTGCAGCCGCTGGAAAATATCGGGCGTCCAATTTAACAACCTGTCCCTGAGTTCTAAATGCTCAGACCAGAAAGAAGAATTTCACAAGGGGTGTCGTGGAGAGCACAATCGGCTGCATGGCGGCCGCCCCGGGCCCACTTCCTGGCGTGCGGCCCCTCACACTCTACAGGGTGACCTTGAGCAAGTCGATCCCCAACCCTGGGCCCATTTTCTCAATTGCAAAATCAACTGCTGCAGAGATGAAGCCCAAAGTCCCGGCCCTCTCCGGGAGGGCGCGGGGACGAGCCAGGCGGCCCTGACCGAGCAGTGCTCTCCTGGGCCTTCGCACCCCACCCCCATCCCCCGCAGCCGGCCGCTCCGCACCTCGCAACGCCTGCCCGCCGCGCTTCGCCTCCTCGTGCCCCGCTGGGCTCAGGTCGGCGTCGTACCAGCCGCTGAAGCGGTTCTCCAGGTTCCACGCGCTCTCGCCATGCCGGATTAGCACCAGCTTGTAGGCGGCCATGGTGGCGGTTCCGCGTATGGTGCAGAATGGGGCTCGCTGAGATTCCGGAGTGGCAGGCCAGCCCCCGGCCCCTGACCACGCCTGCGCGCTCGAGCACTAAATCTTTCCACCGGCCGGGAAACACCGCCCGCTCGGCTGTGCGCATGCGTCCAAGCCGGCGCTGCGGCCGCCGCGAGGAGGGTGTGAACTGTGGTACGGCAGGGCGCATGCGGTCTCCGCCGGCGGCCCGCGTCCGCCGCGGCAGTCACGGAGCGCACGTAAGCTCCCAGGGCGGCGGGACCTTTAGACGGCTCCCGGGCGTGCGTGCTGGCACGTGTTCGAAAGGCAGCCTGCTCTCCCGCATAACTGTCATTCATCAGCCTTTTGTTGTAATAAATGGCCCTTATCAGCTCCGCCGCCACATGCAGAATTTGATTCGCACACGAATCTTCACGCTTTCATTTTATTTGCTGTGTATCTGGGCAGTTCGTGTAACCTTGCCCAGCCTCATCTGTAAATGGACATCATAAATATCTACCCGGAAGATGCTCACTGAATAGTTGTATTGCTGTCATTTCAGTGGACGCTGATTTATTTTACACATAAGGAAACTGGCTCTGACTGCTGGTTCCAAAGCCATGCTCTTTAACGCAGAGCTGTTTATCCCACATCTAGTCTCTCACAGCCTGTAGACCTCCTGTGCCTCCAACAGAGAAGCAAACCTTAGTCCCCTTCAAACATTCCAGAAAGAGGAGTCTCCCCCTGTTCCTGCCCTACACCCAGTCAGTGGTTTAAATATATGCTTTTCTGGACAGCTCTGTGCTGCCGGTGCCAGAATGAAATTGTGCTGTGTGCTATATTTTAACAGTCTAGAAAAGTTTTTAACACACACAATCATGAAACAACTACTATGAGCCAGGCAGTGTTATAAGTGCTTTGAAAATGTTAACTCCTTTACTCCTCATATCCTCATGATGATCCTATGAAGCAGGTTTTCCCATTACTAATGTGGAAACTGAAAGATGAGGTCATTTGTCTAATGTTACAGGAATCAACCAAGATTCAAGCCTAGGCTGGCTAGCTCTTAAATCCATGCATGCTGTTACCTACTACTCTCTATGGCATCCACATTTTAGTCATTTGTTGACTTTGAAAAGTGGGAAGAATTTGAAAGGCAGAGAAAAGAAGCTTTGGGAACAACATAAACCAAAACACATAAGCCTGGCTTGTAGATAAATCATCATAATAGCCATCATAATAGTGTGTTTAGTATGTCAAGTTTTTCAATGTATTATCTCAACCCTCCAGCAATTCATATAATGTAGGTACTGTTATAGCTCAGTGATAAGGAAACTGAGACCCAGAGTAATAATTTGTCCAGAGTCACAACTCAGAAGTAGATGAGAAACCAGGACTCAAACTCAAGCAGTCCAACGGCCTAGTATATACTCTAATCACTGCTTCTAGAAGCTAGGAGAAGATGGAATTCATCTTCTGGCCACAGGTGCTCCCTCAGGGGAGGAGAGGGAACTCAGGCTCTTTAGAGGTGGGGATACATTCAGATGACTGGAGAGGTGACTGTGATGAATCCAGCCTAAAAGCTGTACCCGGCTCTCACAAAAATCCTGGGGCTGCAAAGCAAGGACTGTGCTGGAAGGACTTTGTGTTCAAATTCCAGGCATGGCCCAAGTGGGAGTCCTTGAAAGATTTCCTCTTAGGAAGTTCTCCCTCTAGTCATTCCTGCTGCTTGGTCATCCCAGCCCTGAAGCCCAGGCCCTCCCAGGGAGAGCTTAACAGTGGTTTTTCAGACTGCACTTCTTGTCCCTCTGCCTTGGCCCTAAATCCATGCTCCTAGTCTAACTCCTGCCATGTCCCTTTCTAAAAGGTCTGTGCTGGGGGGGGGATCACATCCACGATGCAAGGCCAATGTAGAGCAAAACGATTTTAGTGCATGTGCCTGGGTGCAGGAGGGCTGAGCCGAAAAGGGGTCAGCCCCAAATAACAGTTGGGGTGTAGGTTATATACTCTACTTGTAGCTTCCAGCAGTGCCTGCTGACGTACTCTGCCTGGGCCCCAAGTTGGGGCTTGCTGTGTCTGGAAGAGAGAGTCAGGAGCCCAGAGATATACAGACAGAGGGGCGTATTGGAAGGACTGTTGTGAGGACCATCAAGGCTTTGCAGCTGCAAGCCAAGATTCCTGGGCAGAGGTGGGGATACATTCAGCATCTATCGCAACATCACAAATCTAGGAAGAAGCTTAGAGCCCATCAAGCCAAGGTGATTTCTCAAATGTCAATAATGGTAAGGATAAACCAGTGTGTTTTGCCGGCCACTACTGTAAAAATATTTTTTTTAATTGTTATTCCTACTGAACACAAGGCACACAAACATTTCCTAAGGCTAATTCCAAATGCATTCACATGTTTTGAGAACAAAGCAAGTGCAAGGGGCTCTGATCACAGAAGAGCCTGAGTTCCCTCTCCTCCCCTGAGGGAGCACCTGTGGCCAGTAAGTCCTCTTCCTTCACGGAGTGTGGGCTTGGGCACCTGTGCTCCAGGGTCTTCTTAGCTGTCATCCCCTGGGACAGAGGCACTCATCCATGGCAAACCATTGTCTCTGCCAAGCGCCTCCAGCCAGTCTTTAAACCCTTAGGACAGATAGCTTCCCTTCTGGCTCAGTGCTTTAATTCTTCAGGCCTCAGAGAAATTCCCAGGATTCTAACAGCTTTCCTTTAAAATTTTTTTATTTTAGAGAGAGAGGCAGGGAGAGAGAAAGAGAGACATCGATTTGTTGTTTCACTTATTTATGCAGTCATTCCTTGATTCTTTTTTTTTTTTTTTTTTTTTTTTTTATCATCACCGGAGGACATTTTCCCATTTTTTTGTTCAGGTAGAGTGGGAGGGAGAGAGAGGAACAGAGAGAGAGAGAGAAACATCGACGTGAAAGGGACACATCGAGTGGCTGCCACCCGCACAACCGACCAGGGCCAGGGACATACTGCAACCGAGGTATGCTCCCTTAGTGGGAACCGAACCCGGGTCTCTCCGGACCGCAGGCCGACGCTCTAACCGCTGAGCCAAACTGGCCAGGGCTCCTTGATTCTTATATATTGCCCTGACCAAGGTTCAAACCCACAACCTTGGCGTATCAGGGCAGCACTCTAACCAACAGGACTACCCAGCCAGGGCCAGGACTGTAACAGTGTTCAAGCAGCCAACTATCTGGGTAAATAGTGACAAAAACTCAGGCTAGGATAATCAGTGGTCACAGTTCTATTACCCTCTACTGTCCCTTAAAACAACAAAGGCCTCTCTGAGCCTTCCCTTCCATTTGTTTTTGCCACAGAAGAGTATCTCCCTTATCAAGTACCAAACATGAAGTGAAAGACCCGATTTAGAATCACAGTGGGGCAAACCAAGTCTTGGCTGAGCAGAAGGAGGGGCGGCTGCCATTCAGCCCACAGGCCTCCCTGTCAAGACACCACATGTCTTTACTTGTTAAACATCTTGCAAACACTGCCTGATGTTCAGGTCTCCCAGGTGTCAGAAGGAGAGGATTTCTGCTTCGGAGAGGGAGTGAGCCCAGATGATCGTGGCTCAGGCTGCAAGACTCTGAGTGTCTAGGAAAGAAAGCAGTGCTTCAAGGAGGGACAAGGGGCTGTTCCAGCCCTCTCCAGTCCCTCTCTGAAGATAAACACAGATGGAACTGCTACTACTGGAAAGGAAAAAGGAGAGTTCAGCTACAGGCTGTGACTTCCTAGGCCTCCCGTGACAGCACCCCCCACCTCCACCCCATCTCAGCTTTAACGTCAAAACCCAGCTTCAGACTAGTGTCTGGCCCAGCCACAGTACAAGCCCTTCTCTCTGGATTATGGAACTCATTCAGTCTCTGAGAGGAAACCACCAGGGCTGCTATAGACCCTCTGTCTCCAGACCCTGCATGTGCTAACTGTGATGATGAAAATGCGCAAAGCCAGGCAATAAGCAAACCTTTTTTTTTTAATCCTCACCAGAGGACATTTTTCCATTTTTTGTTCAGAGTGGGAGGGAGAGAGAAACATCGACGTGAAAGGGACACATCGAGTGGCTGCCTCCTGCACGACCCAACCAGGGCCGGGGACAAACTGCAACCGAGGTATGTGCCCTTAGCGGGAACCGAACCCGGGTCTCTCTGGACCGCAGACCAACGCTCTAACCACTGAGCAAAAACAGCCAGACAAGCAAACCTTTTTGACTCTTCTTTCCTTCACATAAAACTGTCTTCCTAGAGTTTACATTTTCTTTGGATTAAATTCTAAGTACAAAACAGGTAGAAATGTGTTATATGGGAACAATGTGTGTTATGTTGGGGAGGTTAGTGGCGTGCTAGTCCAGGATCTCTGAGAAGCAGTTGCCAGGACAGGATTTGCAGGAAGTGTATTTGGGGAAATGCCTGAGACCGGAAACAGGGTGGGAATAAGACAAGGTTGGCACAGCAAGTGTGACCTAGGTGAGGATGGGGGAAGGGTGGGTGGGCGGAAGCATCTTAGGCTGTAGTACATTTCTGAGGGATATTCAGCGAGGCTGTTGGGGAATCCTCGAGCCAAAATCACCCCTCAGAGAAGTTCCTGGTCTCCCACCGGGCTTGCCTTTGTATCCTTGATGCAGGGCTACCAAGTCATGGTGGACAGCCCATGGGCACCGTCTAAATGCTATGAGGGGTTTCAGAGTGACCAGCTGGGGCCCTTGGTCCCTCAGCTGCATGAGATCCTTGGACATATTCTCTTGGCCGCCACGAGTACATTCCATGCATTTGTCAGAATGTTCTTAGGTTGGCAAGAGCGACTGCTTCCTCAGGAAAGCTGTGAATGGCACCTGTCAGCCAACAGCAAAATGGCCACTATTCCTGTTAAGGATTTTGCCGTGGGTAGAGCAGGGTTGCTGATGGCTGTTAAACTTCTGACTGCAATGGAGGAAAATGCCTGCCTCCCAGAGGTGACAACAGGAGCCAGCTCAGGGGTGTCCAGCCTAAGAAACACGAACAAGGAAGAACAACCATCAGAAACCCTCATGAGTTCCTCAGAGGTCAAACATGGAGTTACACGCCCTGGCCAGCTTGGCTCAGACCAGAGAGTCCCGGG